GCCCCTCATTAGGCTAGTAGAAGACAAGTAACCATCCCAAGTCAAAGTAGCAGGCTATTATTGACACAATTTTAATTGAATGATCTTCATGCTGTTGCCTCTGGCTTATTTTTTTCCCCCTCTTGACTTACAGAACGGCTGCTCTTGCCTGCTGTCCATTTGTGATGAAAATTGCCTAAAGAAATCACACCAGGGCAGACTTTGAGCCTTGTAGTTTGCTTTAGCACCTGGATTCAAAGAGAACTTTCTCATTAAGCTGATGGCAGTTTTATTAGTGATAAAGCCATGATGGTAGGTCTGGTTTTAGCTGCTGCCCATCCAAGGTGTTGGTGAAGTTCTCAGGCTGGCAAGTTGCAGGTCAACACATGTACTAAGGTTTTCATTCAGAAGAATGATGAGGCATTTGCTTCTGGGACTCCTTGCCTTTATCTGGAAAAATTGGGGACTATATCCTGGATTTGTTTGTCATTGGACCTGAAGAAGATATCTGTGCGTGCCCAGCCTATTGGCTTGTGTCCGGTGTGCTCACCTTGATTTTCTGCATGTGCACACTCTTCACCTCTGAAGCGTACTTTGTCTTCAGTGAGGAGCTCTGTTGTTGAGAAGAGACAGTGTAGTGGGAGAAATGGGAAGCCTGAGAGGGACTGATTTGAACATGTGATGTCTGCTTTACTTGCATTGAGATTCATAAGAAAAGTACTTCCAGGTAAATGGAAACATAATTAATCTCTTGTAATGGGCAGCAAGGGGGGAGAGTACATCTAAGCTGTGTTATGCTGTTAAGTGTTGATCCTTTGGAGTTTCTAGATCCTCATAGAAGCAGTTTGGCATTAATAATGTGATTGTTTCTCACTTGTCTTCTGTGTATAACATCTCATTAAGTAACTTTACCTCAAACCAACACTGAGCTAGTATTGAGCAAGAGCCACAGATTGTGAATGTCTAGCTTCCCTCTTGTTAGGTCACCCGTAACCTCATGCATGATAGAAATAGGAAAGGGTACTTTGTGGGAAGTATTAAGGGGGTTTGTATCTGCACAATGCTCCAGCTGTCTCGCATTGTCACACACGGTACTTTTTTTTAGTAGGTTGGGGTATCAGCAGCTTTCTTTGGCTTTAAACACAAGATTGGTCCTTTTATATCCTTGGGACATGTAGGTGTAATTTTTTCAGGTGCTGTATGTCTTGGCTCTTTTTTTTTTTTTTTTTTTTTTGTTTCCAGCAGCCAGAAAGGACAAAGGTTCCTCCTTTGTGCAAGGCCATGGGTGTGACATGCCTAATGTAGACTGGTCCTGGTCTGACTAGTGGGTGGCTGGTGAGCAAGAACCCTGGTTCATGACCTCATTCATTGCCACTAGTTTTTGTGTGTGTGCTTTGAGAGGCACACTGTTCTTGTTGCCTGGTGCCTCTGATCTGCTTTAACTTGTGAAATGAGCCACTGTTCAGCAGGTGCAAAGCTTCATGTTAAAATTTAACATGATGGAGTTAATTAATTTTTCAAGTTGAGGTTAAATCTCTGTGACTTCTACAGGCAGAAAAAACCTGTTTCTCAATCAGTTGAAACTCTTACAGTAGCTTTTGGTTTTGTTCAACGAAGGGACCCGTGACAGCTTAGAGCACTGCTCTGTTTAGAGCAGTGTTTTTCTTGGAGGTGGTGGGAGCGTAAAAGAGCATGGCAGGGTCTAAACACCCAAAGTTTTGTTCCAGACAAACATCATGTAGTTTTAGTAAGTTCTCTACGTGCTCCAGGGTGTTCTGATGGTACATAGTCTGTTGGCTGTGGTGGAGCAAAACCAGCCAGCACATAGCTGTATGCTGCCTCCTGGGAACATGCCCCTCAGCTGGCCAGGATGGTGGAGGAAGGTGGTAGAAGTGTGCTACGGCCCTTTTCCCTTAATGGGTTTCCTCAGGGGTGTGAGTTCCCTGGGCATTTGGTTTGTGTGTACAGGGGTAGATGCTCTAGTCACTGGAGAGGAATCCATGGGGGGGAACAATCTGTTGATCACCAAAAACCTATTAAGAACACAGGGCAGGGAGCTGGGTTGATATTTATCCTCCTAGGAGAGGGAGAACGTGGCTATTTTGTAAATCACTTCACTTTGATCTGAAAAGTGTCTTGGTGACTTTAATCATATGGTCTGGGAAATTTAAACCTTCTTTTGTCTTTCCCAGGGAATGAGTAGAAGAGGGTGTACTCAGCAGTTAAGTGCTGGAGGAAAGGCTTTATGAGTAGTAGAAAGAGTTTGGGTTATTGTCTATCTAGGGAGGAAGCAGAGGTTCAAAATACAGTGTGACTCTTACCTCTCTGGTTAATACTGTTTCTCCCATACATGTATTTGGAAGAAATATTATTGAATGACATGGTTCACTTGGACCTGGCCTTAGATACACACAAACTGTCTGTGGGTTTTATGTAGTCTGTCACCTGTTGAGGTAAGGATGCTGTTGGTGATGTCTGAGGAAGAGAATTGTGCTTACGGGATGTGTGTTTGGCTGCACAGAAATCTGTAGGTCTGTGTATTTGTCTCAGCCTGCCCTCAACTTCTGCTTTCAGTTCCTTCACCTTGTCTTTGTCAGCAGATACAGTACATAGGACTGGAAGAGCTACTTCTGGTGCTACTGGACACCGCTCATCCTGCTGGGTAGTACTAGAGGAGGTGTTTCTTCCAAAGAGAGAATTGCAATGCCACTCTTTCTTTCTGTTTTAAGATATTTGGGTCTCATGTCTTTATCCTCTCATCTGCAGGAAAGGCCTTTGACATCACATATGTGCGTTTGAAGTTTCACACCAGTCGGCCTGAAAGCTTTGCAATCTACAAGCGCACCAGAGAAGATGGCCCATGGGTGCCCTACCAATATTACAGTGGCTCCTGTGAGAGCACGTATCACAAAGTCAATCGTGGCTTTATTCGGACTGGGGAGGATGAGCAGCAGGCACTCTGCACGGATGAGTTCAGTGACATCTCCCCCCTCACTGGAGGCAACGTTGCATTCTCAACACTGGAGGGGCGTCCCAGTGCCTATAACTTTGACAACAGCCCTGTGCTACAGGTATGTGAGCAGGACCAAGTCAGGTGGTCTGAGCTGAGGCTGTTATGGATGGTGGCTTTGTGCTGACTGCCGGCTGCATTACATACTGAATGTAGTCCTTTACATACTGAAAGGCCCTTGTACAGGTAAGTTGGGATGGACAATCCAAAGAGACGCTTCTAAAGGAAGAATTGAACTCAGTTCTATTGTTAGTCTGTGGTACAAAAAGCAAAATCCGTGGTGTTAAGGGTGATTTCTTATTTGGCATTATGGAAGTCTTTAGAGGAGGATGAATGCAGATCTCTGCCTGCTTAGAAAGCAGCTGTGGGCATTTTGTTGCTGTTCGAGGTGTAAGGACAAAGGAAGGTAAAGTCTAAGCTACACGAGTATTTGAGGCATCTGCATGTATATTTGGAGCACAAAAAAATTAAGAAGTGTCAGATTCTTCATAACAAATAAAGGGTTATTGGAAACCCTAACCTGTTCTCTTACATGTGTGTTGGGGCAGGGGAGGTTGGTTTTATCCACAGTATTTGTTTTCTCTTACAGGCAGCTTGTGAGGGGGTTCGGTCGGGGTTCTTTATTGTTAGCATTCACCGTGCCAGTTGGACAGCGGTCAGGAGCATACTGGGAGCACCAGTGTATCCAGTTTACTTGCCACTTTCTGTATTCTGCTTGATGACTTCTCCAGCATATATTGCAGCAGGGAGCTAAAGCTGTGGGATTTGCCCCATCAGGGCTCATCCCTTTCTTTTGGAGCTGGGATCACCATGTCTTCCCTCATCTCTATTAGAGTAGCCTGTCTCTGATCCCCAGCCAGTGGGCAGGAAGAGCAGAATCTGGTGGGGCTTGCTTCTGCAAACAAAAGTAGAGATTAATGAGAAAGGGGGAAGAACTCTTGAAATGGAAAAGAACCAGTTTGACCACTGTGTTGGTGTAGCTGCCCCTTGCAGAAAACAGGTTTTAATCGTTAAGGTGAATGGAGAGATTTCAAGTTAGTGATATGGTGTGTAATTTTCTGATTAACTTCTCTGTGTAAGGATTAGAGATACCTGACCTCCAGTTTCCTAAAACATGTGCAAACTTCTGGCATTGCTTTTCAGAACTGTACTAAATGTGTATTTTGTGCTCAGCACTTCCATGTGTTTATGCAGTGTTTGTAAATCATATAGTACTAGCGAAATGGCTAAGCAGGGATGTAGCTGCAGCACAGTTGTACATACAGGGATGGTTTTTTGTGTTCTTTTTTATGGTGTTTGAAGGAAAATGGCATTGCAGAAGCTGTAATAAAAACAAGGAGGTACTAATGACAGTCACTGGCTGAAGGTGGTGTGAAATTTGGAGATAGGCTACATTTGCTGGCCGTTGCTAGAGGAGGGTAGGGGACTGTGGTGAAGATGCTGTGTAAATATTATGAAAAGCTCTTGTGTTGTAAGTCAGATCTGCCTGTCTGTTTTCCTTCCTCAGCCGCCCCCAGCCTCATTCGTCTGTCTGTGTTTTCCTCTGGCGGTGTATGTCTGCAGATGAGTGTACCCTAAAGCTTTTCCTGTTTGTGCTGTGTGACTTTGCACGAAAACTATGGTCAGATAGATATGCACAATTAGTGAGCTTGCATAATTGCCTGCACTGCACTTTTTGCTGGAAGAGATTACCCACTGCTTCCCAGTTGAGAGCAGTCAAGATGTGAAGAGGCTTTGGAAAGGGTACCCAGAGAGGAGTAGGGTCCCAAAAACATGTCCAAACCAGGAGGATGTGGTGTGAGGCCTCTTGGGCAGGGATGGGTGAGCTTCCGAGGTGCAGAGCGGAAAATGATAAGGAACTTGCTGATTGCTGAATGACTTTGTGAATACAACTGCTAATGACACAGCACTGGTACATGCTTGAAGGGGGTGTTTGATATTTAATCTGATGGGATTTCTGTCTGCTCTAGGAATGGGTGACGGCTACAGATATTAGAGTGACCCTCAACCGTCTGAACACATTTGGAGATGAAGTTTTCAATGACCCAAAAGTTCTCAAGTCTTATTACTATGCAATTTCTGATTTTGCTGTGGGTGGTAGGTAAGTAGACAATAAACCTCTGTAGTTATTTAAAGCTTTTGGTCAGGATTTACTAGAGTGCTTTAAAGATTTTGATTATACTCACATGGTACCATTAAGCACCGATCTTTATTGACTGTCCTAAACCAAAAATGCAGTAAAATTAAACTTATGAAGGTTGCAAATACTGTGTATAACCTCTTGTAGCTATAATTTCAGGGCAAACAGAGGTTGAATGTTTTTTTTTCTTCCTTCATTAAATGATTTGGGAGGTGAAGGGTGGAGAGTGAAAAGGGTGACAAAAATATAAAACAAAAGAAAAAACCCCAACTTTTTCCTACCCTGTACTTTGTGTGGTTTTTAATGTGTTGTTAATTGTTCTCTGGCTAGATTAACAGTAAGTAGAAAATAACGGCATCACTGCTTCACATATATTTTGGGAGGTATCTCCTATGAAAATCTGAAGCATTGTACAAGACACTTCCTTTTGCTAGAGCTTATGGTTGAATTTTAAGTTGTTGACGATAAAATGTTTTGATAAATGGAGCTGAGCCAAGTGTTTTGTACTATTTGCAGAGAGCAGTCCTGAGATGGGGATTTGACAGCATGGGGATTTGCACTGGCTGCACCACCAGGCTGTGGAGGTCCCTGGGTTTCTGTATTAGTCCCTTTTGTGCTATTTAATTTCTTACTGTTACAAGCACATGGCCAGCATGCATGCCTTTTCCTGGACTCTGAGAGAGAAGCTGTGGAGAATATACTAACCTAAAGCCAACAGAATCTCCTACTTATTCTGTTGTGATGTCAGACTGCAGAGTAGGTTAACATTCTTGTGTTTCTAAATGCCTACCTCAAGCATGTTACACCTGTTTGTTTCACAGAATGGTTTGGGTTGGAAGGGACCTTTTGAAGATCATCCAGTCCACCCCCCCAGCCCCACTGTGGGCAGGGATACCTTCCACTAGCCCAGCTTGAAAGCCATATCCAGCTTGGTCTTGAACACTTCCAGCGGTGGGGCATCCGTGACTTCTCTGGGCAACCTGTGCCAGTGCCTCACTAGTCTAATTGTAAAACATGCCTTCCTCAAGTCCAGTCTAAGCCTACCCTCTTTCAGTTTAAAGTCATTGCCCCATGTCCTGTCACTACAGGCCCTGGTAAAAAGTCTCCCTCCATCTTTTGTAAACCCCCTTCAGATATTGAAAGACCTTAGTAAGGTCTCCTTGGAGCCTCCTCTCCTCCAGACTGAGCAGTTGCAGCCGTATTCTCAATTTTGTTATGACCATCTACCTTCGAATTTGTCTCTTCTGAGATTTTCAGAACTGAGCTTTGTTTTCAACATCGCTCTGTGAGTGACCTGGATCACTGGAGTTTAAATACCTGTTACTTGTCTCTCGTTAACCAGATGTAAATGTAATGGGCATGCAAGTGAGTGTGTGAAGAATGAGTTTGGGAAGCTGGTCTGCAACTGCAAACACAACACCTTCGGGGCTGACTGTGAAAAGTGTCTTCCTTTCTTCAACGACCGTCCGTGGAGGAGAGCAACAGCAGAGAGTGCCAATGAATGCTTACGTATGTACAGCCACACTTGGGGGGAAAATCACTCACAGGTTGGGTCCCCTGCCTCTGTTGGCATCCAGAAGCTGGCCCTGCATGGTTTTAAGTTGTTGCAGTTGCAGTTAGCCACTGTTAAGCACAGTTCTGATGTTTTTCTGCAGAGATTTTGTGGGACTGATGGTCATTCCTATCCTGTAGGAGCTTTCTGGTAGGTCCCTAGAAAGGGGCATCTCCTTCCTGGAGAAAAATGGGAGTGACCTTTAGGAAAGAGGTGTGTGTAAAAATGTACAGGATTGTACTGTATGGGACATATAGAGAAAAAACATATTTAGTCTGCTGGAGTATAATTGCCCTTTAAAAAGCTCCTCATTTAGCATCTGCTGACTTCCTCTTGTATTTTTGTTACTGGTTTTTACAGTTGCTTGTTGACTATTTTATCCAATTTTGAAGCTGTTGCAACAGTTCTGAACTCCAAATGTTGATCTCTGTGACTGAATGCCAATTTATTTTGCTTGGGTTTATGTCGCAGACTACAGCTCCTGGTAGTTTACTTTATGGGGAAGCTTTTTCAGACAGAAAAGCTTTCTTCCAGTCTGACCTCTGTGATCGGTCCCAGCTGTCTGGTCAAGATCTGTGGCTTCCCTCAACAGGACACTGAAACCCAGGTCTCCTGTGCCCTAGACAGAGGGGTTTTGAAATCCAGGGGAGAAACTCTCCTTACAGCATGGAGTCTGCCTCACTGTTACTTTCTCATGCTTGGTTCAATGACTTGAGATCAGTGTTGCTGTGTGGAAGGGTGGCATTTCAGATGCAAATGGCAGCCCAAAGTGGAAGGGAATAGGTTAGAAAATGCTGGTTTTCCTCTGGAGGTAGATGAGAGTGGTCTTGAGGAGCCCATTTTATCGTTACAGCCTTGCCTCCCCCTCCTTGTGTTCAACCACAGCAAAAACATGCTTGCCCCTCTTTCTTCTCACTGATGCGCAAATGCCTTAAGGTATGTGTGCATAGGTCTTGGGATGGTTAAAGGCTCCCACTTCAGCTCCCCTACAGGTTAGTATCGAGCTTTGTGTAGTGGGTTTTGTGACTGTTCACCGATGGTACCCTCGTCTTGGCAGCTTGTGACTGCAACGGGAGGTCGCAGGAGTGCTTCTTCGACCCTGAGCTGTACCGCTCGACAGGCCACGGGGGCCACTGCACGGGCTGCTCGGATAACACCGATGGTGCCCACTGCGAAAGGTGCAGGGACAGCTTCTATCGCCTAGGGAGCGAGGAGGGATGTCTGCCCTGCAGCTGCAACCCAGTTGGTAAGTAGTGGCAGCAAACACTTCTGCTTGCAGACTTCTATGCATGAAAACTAATTCTCTCTGTTATGCTGCTAATAGCAAACTACAGGGTTAAAAAAGAGGGGTTTTCATTTGTTTTTCTTTCTTTTTCTTCCCCGTGTAGGAAATGTTTATTGGGTTGTATTTTGGTTTAAATTATCCTTGGATCTAATTGTTATTGTGGTGGCAAGGGCAGACATTTACTGCAGCATTTACTCCTTCAAATGTGTTCTGAAATAGAATTTTTTTTTTTTCCTTCTACCTCTCCACTGTGTATGTGTTACCCTGGATGCTCCCGGTATTAAAGAGCTCATTTAAATTCTTAATAAACAAAATGATGTGAGTGGATATTTCTGGAAGTTGTTCGTAGTGAAAAATTGTAGTGAACTTTAGCTGCATCAGTTTCTCCTACTGAGTATCCAAGCACTATAAATACAAACCAGTGAAACCTTAAACACAAAAAGGGGTGGGGTGAGAAACAAACTCAAAATAGGTAAACTTCTTTAAAAAAAACCCAAACAACCAAACAAAAAAACACCCCAAACAAATCACTAAAGAGAAAAAAATTCTGGCAGGAGAACAAATTTTTTTGTTACCAAGGGAGCCCCTTGACCTGTATGGAGCGATCCCATAGCTACACCATCCCACAGCAAATAAGCGGGAAGGAGACAAAAGGGTAACAGATAGTAAGATATGATGTGATGTTCCAAAATAGAGTAGCTGTAATAAGTAATTGCTTGCAGCATGCCCTAAAAGCAGCCAGCGAGAGGTCTGCCAGGGTATGTCTCTATCTAATTTAGTTGGAGACTTGTACAGTTGTGAAATTTTTGACCAAGAAAGGCCTCTTTCTTCCTCCATCTGCTATCTCAGGTCCTCATGTCAGACCTTATTTTAAGAGAGGTGAGGATTGGTGTCAGCTGAGATGGTCGAGAAGAAGCAGGGAGGTGACCTCTCAGATCTTTAAGGACAAATTTCAGAGGGCTTTATAATTAGCCATCAGCTTGTATCCCATGGCACACTGGCACCCAGGGCATATTTGAAGCCACTGGATAGCATTAGATTGCTACTTCTTGTCTGAGTATTGTTTTTTGCAGTCTCGTGATTATTTAGGAAAGGGGATTTGAACTTTGGCTGTATATGGTAAAGGTTTTGTGAGTTCTTCTAACCTGTCCAGCCTAATCGTCTTCCAACTCTTCACTTTGCTATAATCTTCTGGTGTGGATTGAAGTGGAAAGCAGCAGCTATTTCTGTATATTAAAATACTTTTCTCCCAGTAGTTAACTCTTACAGTGCTGACAACTCCTAGGCTGCTAGCTACACTTAAGCTTGGGAGAAGGCATTTTGTCTGCCATGGATTAAAGAAACCTGCTGCTCCTTTTTGTGCAAGTCTGCTTGAACAGAGCAGCACTGAGGAGCATGTCCTACCAAAAATGAGAGTTTTGTTGAGGAGTTTGTTAGGGTTAATAGTGGCACATACAGCTTGACTCTGAGGCTGCGGTTTAGTCTTTTAAAGCAATTAGGGAATTCAGGGAGGAAATTGGGACATGAAGGGAAGAGGTCAGGATATCCCCTGGCAAAGAGGAGATGGTGATTAGGGAGGACACAAGGGATTTGGGGAATAAAGTCTCAGAAATGGTGCATTACAGGGTAAAACAGGCATGGAATTTGAGGCATGCAAAAGCAACATTGAGGACAAAACAGGAATAAGGACAAAAATGCAATTTGAAGTTAAATTTATATATAAAAAGGTTAGGTGGTAAGAGTACTTAAAAGCTGAATATAGTTTGGAAGACTAGATAATGATTCATCCCTAGAGCTGCTAGGGGAGAAATCCCTGTGAACTAGAGGCAGTCTTTAGGTTAGCTGGCACATCAGCTTGAAGCTATGCTTCCCGCTTTCTTTTCCCATATTTCTTGCCTGTTTTGTAAAGTTTCAAAAGCTGCAGGCTAGTCGAGCCAGATGGTTCTGCTGAGGTGCCTGTCATGCTCTCTCCACAGGCTCCCTCAGCACGCAGTGCGATAGCTACGGTCAGTGCAGCTGCAAGCCCGGCGTGATGGGTGACAAGTGTGACTGGTGCCAGCCAGGTTTCCACTCCCTCTCTGAAGCTGGGTGCAGGTAAGAGGGCTGCTGCTCTCCTAGAAGAAAAACTTCAGTGTAAAGCATTCTCTGTATGCCTCTGAATGAGTTTCCTTCTCTTCTGACTCTCAGGCCCTGCTCTTGCAATCTGGCTGGCAGCACAGGGGAATGTAACGTTGAGACAGGACGGTGTACATGCAAGGACAATGTTGAAGGCTTCCACTGTGAGAGGTGAGTTTTTCTTTCTGTGGCTTTGTTTCAAGAATGAGAAACATTCGAGCGATGGCCTGGGGTAAGCACGTCAGGGAAATGAATTCTTTCTTTCACATATTCAGATGCAAACCTGGATTTTTCCATCTGGATTCCTCCAATCCAAGGGGCTGTACCCCCTGCTTCTGTTTTGGACACTCTTCGGTCTGCTCTAACGCCATTGGCTACAGTATCCACAGCATCACCTCCAGCTTCCAGTTTGGTAAAATTGAACCTTCCTTTGTATCTCAGATTAGGCTGTAGACTCAGTACAGAAGCGATTAAAAAAAACCTGCGCCTTCCTTTCTGTGCAAGACTGCAAACCTTGGGCTGGCAGGTCCAGTATCCCTCTTTTTGGAAGTGCCGAGTTACTTCTGAAGTTACTGGAAGCTTCCATGTCGTCAGCTTGATTATTCAGCTAGGGAGGAATGAATTCACAGCTCTGGCCTTAGGCACCTAGCACTAATGTATACCATGCAGGTACAAGTGGGAATTGCAAATATAAACCTTTTACAGCTTGAGAGAGGTGAAAGGGAGCATTTCCTCAGTTTTAGAACCAAATCAGGAGTTTCTGATTGCGAAGATTATAATCGTTTTAGATCTAGGGTTTACGTGTCTCTGAGTAAAACACAGTTGTGTTTCTGATGGGTCTGTAAGCTCAGGAAAAATCTTTTTTTTTTTCCCCCCTCTCCATACAGTCAGTTTCCTGTGTATGCATTTTTTTCATGCTGCATGCTTTGAAAATAATGTCTTTTTAATTAAAATTCCACTGGAGAACAGTTCATACAAAGGCTGAAACTCTCATCAAGTCATAGGGGACTTCAGGTTTTCCCATCCCTGCTTAGGCACTTTAGAAAAAATGATTTTGAAGCAGTAGTTATCACAGGGTTCAAAGTTCAGAGGGTTCAAGTTAGCACTTGAGTTAGGGGCTTAAACTGGAAGGATGATGTTTGCTATCTGTGTGCTACTTTCTGGAGTGCCAGTCTACAGAATATAGATGAGTTATGTATGAGCAGTGTGCAGCATGACATGAGAAGTGTGTGCAGAACTGTCTTCAAGTGGTATTAATTGTTGCATGTTTGATTTTTCAGGAGAGGATGAGTGGCGTGCTGAGCAGCGCGATGGCTCAGAAGTCTTACTCCAGTGGAGTGCGGAGACCCAGGATATCTCTGTTATCTCCGACAGCTACTTCCCCATGTATTTTGTTGCACCACGTAGGTCATTCAAGAAGTGAGGCTTTCTGTGCTGCTTGTGCCCTTTCTGTTCTGTCACCTAACTGTAGGGATTTCTTCCCTTTTCAGGCAAGTTCTTGGGCAACCAGGTTTTGAGTTACGGGCAAAATCTGACCTTCTCCTTCCGTGTGGACAGACGGGACACACGCCTCTCTGCAGAGGACCTGGTGCTGGAAGGGGCTGGGCTGCGAGTGTCAGTGCCACTCATTGCCCAGGGCAACCCTTACCCTAGTGAGAACGTGCTGATCTATACCTTCAGGTGAGAGGACTATCCAGGCACAGTGGGAGCAGCTGGGACCTAGCGTGTGGTGCCTGAGCTCTTGAGAAAACAAACAGCATTAATTTTAGCTTAGAAGAGCGGTCTTATCAGGCTAATTTGAAGCTTGCTGTCTAGCAGCATTGCGTAAGTGTATGTGAATTATGTTGCAATAGAATACCGCTGTTGGAAAGGGTGCTTTAAAAGGGCACAGCTGTTAGCATCTGAACACTATGCTGATGATGCATGGCTCTTCTCCCTAGGCTCCATGAGGCTACGGATTACCCTTGGAGGCCTGGTCTTACGGCATTTGACTTCCAGAAGCTTCTCCACAACTTGACTTCTATCAAGATCCGTGGGACATACAGTGAGAAGAGTAAGTCACTGAGCAGAATGTCGCAAAAGGGGGGACTCATTCATTTAGTGCTTGTCTTGCTTTATTTTAGGGCCCAGTCATAAATAGCCTTGGCAGCTTATTAGGCAAAGCCTGCACCAGTTGCTTTTCACCTGGCCTTCCTGTGTAACAGCTTCTCCCAGGCCTCCTGAAGAGGACATGGGGAAGAAACGTGCTGCCTTTTGAGAGTCTGGCAGCTGCGAACACATCACCTGCTGATTCTTTGCTTTTAAACATGAAGGATTTGCTGTGTTGTAAAGCCAGTGTCTTCCAAATCAGTAGAAATACATAGCAGAGTCCTAAAGGACATGGTGGGAAACACGCAGGGACTTTACAACATTTGGCCTCAGTTTCTGCTACACCGGGGATGGTTACGTACCTGATTTCTGGTCTTGCTTTCGCATGACAAATGGGAAGGACAAAGTCTCAAAAGCACTGGCTGTGCTGAACTTTCACTCAGGTTCCTTGTAATGAGGGTTTATAAAAACCAGGCATGAATTGGGAGCAAAACCACCTGGGTCCTTGGGTATTGTTGTGTGAAAAATTTTTGCAGAAAGGTCAAAGGATGAATTTACATTTGGGGTAGGTGGGAAGGCTGCAAGTGTCTTCAGTAGAGGTGGTTCATAAAGAGGAATGTGGGGTTGTGAAATAAATGGAGGGAGGGGAGGAAGGGTGTGGAACCCCTGGGTGCTGTAGCTGCTGTTAATATGCAGGAGCTGGGGCTCTGCTGGGTGCTCTGGAGCTGCTGTGGTGATACAAACACACTGCTGTAAGTCACAATCCAGCCATGTTGTGTCTGGGCTCTGCTCTGCTCCAGGGAAGGGGCAGGGAGGAGGGGCTGTCTCTTA